GATCTTTTGAATTACATAGATCTTTCGTATTTTTAGAATTCGTAGAATTCTCAGTATTTTTAGAATTCAGAATTAAGAGATTGTTATACTGCGTCATATACATGACTTCATTATGATTAGTCAATTGCTCTGTTGATAATATTAAAAAGAATTTATTATATACTTTATTATAATTTTAATATAGTTTTGTCTGAGTTTAAACTATTATTAAGAGGTTTTATCTCTCATTTATAATTTGTATATAAATAAAAATTGCCTAAATTATAAAATAATTAAAATATTAGGTTTAATTTTTTTTATTAAATTTATAATTTAATTTATATTTAAAACTTTTTATAAGTTAATAAAAAGATTATAATATACTTTATAAAAATAAAATAAAATTTTAAAATTATATATATTATATATATATTATATAATATTTATTTTATAATAATAAATAGTAAATTTAAAATAATTCTAATTATAAATTATATATTCTATAATTATGATTACTTTTTTTATATTATAATTTAATAATATATATTATTTATTTAAATGGTAAATATAATATTATTAATAAAATATATATAAAATTTTTAATATTTAATATTTAATAACTATAAAAAAGTAAAATAAATTTATTAGATTATTATATTAAAATATATTTAATAATATTATTTTCAAATTTTTAATTATATCAATATTTTAATTTTAAATTTTAACTTATTAAAAATTCTTTAAATAATATTATTTATATATTTTTAAAATATAAATATTTATCAAAATCTTCTTAAAATAATTTTATCTTACTTATTTCTATATTTTTAATATAGTTTTAATAGTTTTAGTTTTATTATATTAGAAGGATTTTATCATATCTTATTATGATTTTTATATATAGCTTCATCTGAGTTTTAATTATTATTAAAAAATTTTATCTTTATTTATATTTTGAAATTAATAGATAATAAGATATATATTTAAAAATTTAAATATTTTTATAATAATTTATAATATAATATCTTTAAAATTACTAATTAATTAAATTTTTACTTATAAAATTTTAAAAAATAATTTAAATAATTAAAAATAATTTTACGTACAATATATATAAAATTGTCAGAAATTAGTTTATAATATTATTGAAAAATAAATACTAAAATTTAATTTTATAAATTATTAATATTTTTTAAATTATTTTTATAATAAATTTATTATTAATTTTTTTTAATAATATAAAAAATAAAACTAAAAATTTTATGAATTATTTTTTTTTATTAATTTATTTCTGATTAAAAATTTTAAGATTTTAAGTTTTATATATTAAATAATACTATAAATTTTTTTTAAAAAAATTAATCAATAAATTATTTAATTAATATTTATTTTTATTTACTTTTCAATTTTAAAATTTTAAAATTTAAATTATTTTATAAAGGTATATATTTTTAATTATAAATAGTAATCAATTTTTATAGTAGAATATTCAAATATACAAATTTAAAAAATATTTATATTAAAAGATCAATATTTAAAATAATATGAATTATGCCTATTAATTGAAAAGTTGATTAATATTTAAAAATAAATAATAAATTTTGTTATAGTAAAACTTTATAAAAAATTTTTTTAGATACAATAAATTTTAATTAAGACTTTTAATTAAATTGAGTAGAATTAATAAATAATTAAGTTAATTGATTTTATGATTTGAGATTATTAGATTCAATCAAAATTAAATTTATTGTAATTAATTATAATTAATTAAATTTTATAGTTAATTAATAAACAATTATTTTATTTAATAGTTTATTATTAAAAGTTTTAATATTTTTATATTAAAAGTTATTTTATTTGAAGTTATATACATTATTTTTTATTATTGAAAAATGCATTTTTAAAATATCAAAATCTTTATTTATAATATTTAAAATTTTTAAATATTATAAGATTAAATGATCAATAAATGTAATTACTTTTAACTTAAAAATCTTTTTTTTAATAACTTTTAAAATGCTAAATTAAAATAAAAATAAAAAATTATTTTAACTTTAGCTAACTAAAAGAAATAATAAATTGGTTTATTTTCAAATATTAATCAACAAGATAAATCTTAGTACTATTTGAATAATATTAAAATCTCATAAGCTTTTCCTAAAATAGTTTATTTTAATAATAAACTGATAATTTTTAACTTTATTAAAATAGCTAGAAAATATTAAGTATTTAGTCATAATTATTTCAAGTGAATAATGATATAAATAAAATTATTAATAAATAGATTAACTTAAAACTAAAGATTATTAATGAATTATTATTAGTAAATGAAATAGTAAATATTATAATTTTTTATAATATGTATATTATAAACTAAAAAAATTTTAATTGTTAAATTTTTATATTTATACTATTATTAATAATAAATCAATTAATAATCAATCAATTTAAAATTAATATAATCATAACTTGATTTAATAATTCTTCTTAGTTATTATAAAATTTTTGAAAAAATCATTTTATCAATATTAATAAATTTAATGTAATAATTTTTATATATTTTAATATAGGACAAAAAATTTTAAAGAAATTATTTAAATAAGAATTCATTAAGTGATTATTATATTAAGAATTTATTATAATGAGTTTTAACTATAATTACATTTATTATTTGATTGAATTATGCATTTAATTAAGAAATTGATTATATATAATTAATTAAATAATTTGATTTTAATTGATAATATAAGTAAGAAATTAATTAAATTCTCAATTATAACTTTTTTATTATTAAATATCTTAATTTCAATATGATAAAAAATGTATATATAATATTATTAGTCTAAAGTATAATGTAAAACCATTTAAAGTTTAAATACAGTGGTGTAAGATGTTTATCTATCCTTCTGCTTTTGGTTTAAGTCAATTTTTATTGGTATATATTTGTTTTACTGTTGATCTTAAATTACTTTATTATGTGAATTTAACACTTTAGACTTGCAAACAGTTTCTGTTATTTAGTATTATATAATATATAGAAAGTTTAAGTAAAAATATCAAAATTAAAATTAAAAATTAATTAAATTAAAAATAAATTTAAAAAATTATAATTTAATTAAAACATATTATTTTTAATATTAATATTTACTTATTCTTTTTAAGTTTAAAAAATAAAAGAAAATAACTAATAATTTGTAAATTAAATTTAAATTAAAAATTTAAAATATAATATTAAATTTTTGTAAATTAATACAATAATTAAAATAATTAAAATAGTTTAAAGATTTTTTTTTAAAATTTTTGCAGATTAGTATAATAATAAAACAATTTAAAAAATTTAAAAAATTTATTTTGAAATAAATAAATATATATATATATAATATTTAACTTTGTAGAATAACTTAAAATCTTATATCTATTAAAAATATGTTCTAATTATTTATTAAAAAAAAAAAATAGTATAATATTTTTTTGTAGATTAGCTTACATTTTGTAATAAGAACTAAAAATATAAAATTAATATATTTTCAACTTATTATTAATTAATTAAATAAATTTAAGATAATATATTTTCTTTAAATAACTTTAAATTGTATTAAAATATTGAATAATCATAAAAAAGTTAAAAATATTAATTTGTAAAAATAAATGAGTATATATTTTATTTTTACAAAAAATTAAATTTTTTATTTTTGATAAATTTATATTTATTATTTCATTTATTTTTAAAGATCTTATAATTTTATTCTCATATTTTAAAAAAACTGATTGATTTTCATAAAGAAAAATAAAGTAATTTTATATTTTTTTTTAAAAAAATTATATTTAAATACTTTTAATATTTTTTAATAATTTGTTTTATAATTGAAAAATCTATTTTAGATTTAGAAGCTAGCGCTAGTTATTAAATTTATCGGAAATTAAATAGGAAAAAAAACGGAAGTATTTAATTTATATATTATTTAGACGTTAAATTTGGATGTCTTAGGTAAGAAAATTTCTTATTTTTTTAGAGTTTTGCGTGTGAATGTATATTTGTTTGAGTAGGTAAGGCGGTTCAGGTATATATTATTTTTTTTTTTTTTGTGGAGTCTGTTTGTTAAAATGTATTTATACCAATAAAGATTTAATAAAAGATCAAGTCAATTTTATTTACATATCTTTGGAGATTAAATACTTTTTGGAAATTAAAATGTTATGTTCCTCGACGAAAAAAAAAATGTGTCATTTTAAACGAAAAATCTCTTTAATCTTGTAAAAATAAAAAAAGTTCATTCCGTTACACCAAAAAACGTTACCACAAACGATAACTTTTTTTTATTTGTAGTAACTCGCGACAAAAAAATTTTTTTTAAAAAAATAATTATCTATATAATTTTTCTAGACAGTAAATGACGCAACTAATGTGAAAGTTTTACGTGAAAGAAAATTATCGATAATAACTTGCATGTTGATTAAACAACGACTAATCGTAAGTGTATTAAAAAATATATTCAATGATATCGAACCAGAATATTGTAGTAGTTGTGGTAGAAAGAATAGAAAACTCCGTTTATGTGATGACTACAGGAAGCTGAATATCATCACTAAGAAAGATAACTAACCTAACTAATATTGTTAAGTATATAAAGATCTTACTGCAGTAAGCGACGCATACTCATAATACAATTGCCACATAAAAAGTTTATAGTTGATGCAAACGATTTTTTTTTAAAAATAAAAAAAGTATGTTTTTTAAAATTTATAAGTTTAGTGATATTTCTCTTCACTTACAAGTATCTTGACTACGGTAAAGATTAGAGGTTGCTTTTTTTTTTTTAGATTATTATTAGCTGCGGCAATACTAGGAAAGAAGGTTCGAATTTTTTTTTTTGAAATCTTTTTTTATAAATTAAATTTTTTTAACTTTCTTATGATTACTACGGGTGCGCCAATTATTTGATGTTTACCTCCTAATTTCGGGTTAAGACGAAGGTGATATTTTATAAAGCAATTTCCGAAGTCAGACGCAGTTGGTGATACTATGCTTCGTCCATTATGATAATAATGCCTACTGAATCTTGTGTTTGTCCAGAACTATTGTTACTCATTTTGCTTTGTGTAGGCTTCCCGTCTTTTTTCTCAATCCAATTAGTATTAGGTTGTGGGTCTGTGCAAATAAAAAATCAAGACAATGATTATCGAGTCTGAAGACTGTGTACTGTAAGGCACGAATGAAATTTTAATTTTTCTAGATCCAAGCTGTTTGTTTTTCAATGTACACTCCCCGGTCAAAAGTATTGGACCACGTGATTTTCGTTATACTAATTGGCGTAATTTTTGCCGATTATA